GGAAGGGTTGGGATTGGACTTTGAGGGCCTTTACAACCTGGAATTCGGGAAGAACAGCAAACAGACTTCGAGGGCTGAAGCTTAGTATTCCACCAACACAGATCAACCGAGCAAACAAACTTCGAGGGTTTGGAGCTCAACTGATCTAAGGTAGATAAGATTATGCCTTAACCCAGAGGAAAGGAGGTCAGGGGCAGGTGAGGTAGGTTCCCATGGCATGTCCAAATCCCGGGAGATGAGATTTTATACAGAGAATGAATTATGTACTTGCATTAGAAAAAGTGCAAAGAAATAACCATTAAGGACCACATTGATGGGCCAAAGGTTACATTTTTGGTTCACAATAAAGGTTCCTAGTGAGATAAAGAAAAAAGAAAATGAGGGAATTTATCGATTGCTAATTCGAAGGTTGTATCTTTGAATTACAATGTTAAATCCTAGACTGAAATTGGAGGACATTCCTTAGTATGGGACGCAGGAAAAACTCCTGGACCAAACAAGTACGTGAATGCCTCTTGAAATAAAACAAGGAAAAGAAATTTAATTTGCAGGGGGCTAGGCCATGAAGGAGGGCCTATTGTATCCATGCAGTCAACAAGAAGGAGGTGGGGGCCCTTCCCATGGGCTCCTTCTCTTCGACGAGGGGCACGCAGCGGAATCAGCAGCTTCCCATATGTCATAGTCTTCCCACGTCCCATGACGGGGAGCTGGTGCTCCCAATGAAGAACCATCATTGAGAGACCTCGGCAAGTTTGGAGAAGCAGTCCGGCTTTCACGTGAAGGTTCCGCCTTGACAGTCGGCAGAGAACGCTCAAGTTTAGCCCTGCGCATCCTCTGGTACAAGGAAAAGTCTTGGAGGGTTATAGAGTCCCAGTCTATCTTCCCGGATGGAAGCCTGGGTGGACTAGGAGGAGATGGTGCGGGAAGACGAGGTGCTGGATGAAGTCTTGAGAACTCGCCAGGACTCAACCCAGCCATGTCGTTGGATTGAGCCGGGGAGGCGGAGAAATCATCATCTGAGGAAGATGTCCCGGAAAGGGTTAAGTCGATAACGACTTTACTCTGAGATTTACTTGCCATGGCGAAGAAATCAGAAAGGGATGAACTAGCAGCAAACCATCCTCTCCCATTTATAGTGAAAGGGGAAGGGATAGTTGGGAAATGATGAATGCGGTTAAAAGACGTGAAAGACTAAGCAATTGGCGAATGAAGCGGTCGAAGATTCCCAATGTTTGACTAGGGGTTTTCGCCACTTAAGCGCATGGGCCAGTTAATTGGGCCCATCTGCGCTTTGGGAAAGATGTCATCCGTGGAAGGTAAAGAGTTAAATGAATATAGACTTCTACTTCATGCAGATGGCGGCACGTACAACAGAGTTATATTAAACGACAGGAGATAAAGGTTTTTCCATTAAATAGCTCAAACAGAAAATTACATTCTTTTGGGTTACAGTAATGGGCCTTGTCCCTGATCTAACAACAAAACATAAAAGAGACGAGAGATAAAGATTTTCATTAAATAACTCAAGCAGAAGATTACATTCTTTTGGGTTACAGTAATGAACTTTGTCCCTGATCTACTTCTATTCTACTACTGGAAAAATTTGAAGACAAGGCGAGTCAGCACCTCAGAAATCTGAGGGGAGGGCATTCGCTGACCCTTGCTGCCATGCCAGAGCCAGAAAAGGACCCCAGAGCGGGAAGGTGTGGAGAGGGCCCACCGTTCTCTCTTGATGACATTCAAAAGAGGCGAAATGGTACCAACGGGTTTGGATTGAAAGCCATTCCCCCCGTGGGCACTATCCAGTCACTCCCATGAAGACGGACAAGGAGGACGATAAGGCATGAGGGAAGGACTCAAGGCCTATTTCCGCTTATACGGAAGGTGGAGGCGGATCCCAAAAGGTTCCGGCCTTTTCCCTGCGTATAAACGGAAGCCTATTTCCCCCCATGTCATAGTCCCCCCCACTCCTCAGGTGGCTGTCCATATGACTGCTGAGGGGAGGGGGAACCCTGGGAGGAAGGCTTCGCACCAGAGACCAACCGGGAAGCTCCTGAGTGGGGATTCCGTCCTGGCACCGTTAGGAAGCACGCCGGGACCCAGAAGAACACCCCCTGATACCTGTGGGGGGAGATGAGGGTTATTCTCCTCCCTGGGCAAGGGAGAAGTCACTGATTGTTCAGATGCAAGAGAAGGCCCAGAAGAGAGTTCAGGTGTTGGGGCCCCAAGTGAGGGGAATGCCAACGAAGAAGAATCAGAAGAAGAATCGGAAATAGTAAGATCAATAAAGACAACTCAGTTGGCGTTATTAGCCATGTGGAGAATTTGATTGTGATGGTGAAGGGGTTCAGCCTAGTCCCTTAAATAGGCGAGTAATCCCAAAGGAGGAGTGCAAGGGACGCGGAGTCAAAGCACTTATCCGATTGGGAAGCAGTTACGGATTCAAGCTAGGGTTGCACCATTTCATTATTGGGCTAGGGGGAATTGGGCCCGGCATAATTAAGGTGGGCCAGTCACTTAGCACGATGATAAACAAGAGAAACAGCACTTTGTGAATGCGGTTAAGCCCAAAGCCTAGGCGGATAAAAAAAATTTGCTAAGTCCTAAGGAGAGATAAGAATCCCAAAAGGATAACAGTGAGCTTAATGAAAGGAGTCTATGAGGACAGAAATACATCAAGTATTGTCAAGTTACTACCATTTAAATGTTACAAAGCAAAATACAACAGTTAGTGAAGAAAAGGAAAGTCAAGGCCCCGGGTCCACACGAGAATCTGGGGGAGAAAGAGGGAGAGGTAACCCGTAGTATGAGATGAAATCATCCAAGGATCGGTGAGCTGGAAGACCACTCCGGATCGCCTCATAAATGCAGTGTTGCATGTCAAATTTCCCTTCTTCATAATATATAATTTTTATTTTCAAATTTTATATTATTTTTTATATAAAATAATTTGAAAATAATTTCAATAAGTAAATGAAATGCGAACGGGTAGGACACACTTTACAAAATGGGGTACAAAAGTTTGTGGACCGTGGTCTTCGACACGTGTGTCCTACCCGTTCGCATTTCATTTACTTATTGAAATTATTTTCAAATTATTTTATATAAAAAATAATTTTAAATCGTTCAGTGAAATGGAAACAATAGATCATTAAGGAAAAGATCATCAGTCGAGATTGAGGTCGATGACATTATCGTCTTGTTGGATCAAAGGCCTCCCTTCAACCTAGACGACTTTGATAATGAGAGTCTCATTCCACGACCAATCAGAAGAAAGAAAGCAATATCTACTGCCTCGAGTTTTGCAGGGTCCGACTCTATTAATTTTTTCTCACGATGATATCGGTCGAATAATGGTTGAACAACTTCGGGTGTTCAATATTAGGGAACAAGAGAAGGAGAAACAAAGGCAAAAGAAGGAGGAACCGGAAACAATAAAAATTGACCTCAATATATTAACGAGCTTCAAACGTATGTATTTCAAGAGAAGACAAAACAAGATCAAGGGATTCAAGGCTAAATATAATTTACTTTATTTTTTTTATTAAAGTAATTTTTTTAAAATTTAATTTATTTTTTATTAAATGTATTTTTTTATTTTATGAGGCTTAAATTCAATTAATAAATGGAATCTTATTAATTTAATTTTAAAAAATGTGTATTAAAAAATTAAAAAAGTATTGGTTTAAAAAATTGTAATATAAATTAAAAATAAGGTTAAAACTGATGCGACAGAGAGAAGAATTGAAGCCCGATTTCAAACGCATTAAGAATGTTCTTAAAAAACAATCATGCTAAGGGTACACCAAAAGTGTACCCAAATTATACTCCAAAGAAATACACTTGCTTTTTAACGATTCACACTGGCAGAAAATGTTAGTTTAATTAAAAAAAATTGCACTACATAAATCCTCTTAAAAAAAACTAGTGCGTAATAAGCACGTGAGTATGACGTACCAGAAAAAAGCACGTGACTATGAGGAATCGCCTGGGTTAACAGAATGAGCACGACGTGTCCCACTTTGGCAGCCTCACACTAAAGGCATGTTTGAGGGCCTACTCCCTATAATCCGGGAGGAAGCCAGGAAGGAAATTGAAAAGGGAAGAGGTGAAATATCTTTTATGAGTAATGCTAGGGGTACACTAAAAGATGTACCCCAAATGTACACTACCCTTTTTTCATTCACACATTTTTATTTGATTTTTATTTACTTATTTTTTTTGAATTTTTTTGCCTTTTTTAGTAGACAAGGAGGGGGTGGGGGATATTTGGGGTGTAAAGGTGTACCCCTAGCATTTTTCATCTTTTATTTGTTGTGCTAGAAAGAAAATTTGGAGATATCGAAAAAATGGGTTCGGACCCACACGAACTTTTCTCACAAAGTCCCCGTGTGGACGACTGGCCGTGCGTGGAGTCAACACAATTGTATTTTATCTTATTCCCAAAATTGTTTAAAACCACTCCCCCAGTTTTTGTCTACTTTCATTTTTGTACATCATTCAATGCATTTTTTTTAATTCATTTTATTTTATAACTTGTATATTAAAGAATTATAGAAATTATATATTAATAATCTAAGACAAATCAAACAAGATCACACATGACTATATTTAGGCTTAAACATTAAGAGAATTTGATGAGTCAAAGTGCTTAGATGAACAGTTCTAAAAGTAAAAAGTGGACAAAAACTTGGGGACGGAGGGAGTATTTCTTAAAACGTGTCGATTCTATGACCATTGCTTATCACTGGTTATGGAGGATACTGCTCCGATTTTGATTAACGATACTCCCTTTGTAAAATTGACGATTCCTATTCTCTTTAAGTCCTTCGATACCCCCCGCTCATTCCCAACGAAAACCCATCCTTCACCCATTACCCTGAAAGTTTAATTCATTTTAATGTTAAATATTTAGACTTCAAGTCAATTAATCTGTGTGGTGTTATTGATATGGGTGGGAAAATGAGTTATGGTCGGGACTATAATCGGCAATTGAGCCTAGTCATTTTTAAAATACTCTTTTGAGTGATTAAATCTGTCTAATTTTTATTTACCAAATTTAAAGGATACTTCTAGTTAGGGATGTAAACAAATCAAATATTTTAAATTAGATTTGCGATTCGTATTCGAATATGATGATACGAATTCGCGTTATTCAAATACAAATTCAAATTCAAATATTATTTTTGATTCGAATATTAATCAAATACAAATACACATAGAGATATATTCGATTCGGATGATATTCGAATATTCGAATATATGTATATACACACAAACCATGTTTTCAACATCAAAAGTCAAGCAAAGTAATATAGTATAAAATGTATTTAAAATAGTAAGAATTCAATAAATTAACGTAACACAAAAATCTAAAGCATATGATTTTTAATAGTTATATTTTATAAAATATAATTTGTGTAAGATGCAAATGTATTAATGTTTTTATATACGGAATATAGTATAATATAAAGAGTATCGTAAGTTAAATTACAAATTGATGTTGGTCCATCATATAAATTACATAGTATGATTATTCAAATATTCGTTCATGATTCGATAACTATTCGAGTATTAATCAAATACTTATTCAAATCTTATTTTGAATTCGTCTCATATTCGGATTCAGATTCGTATTCGAAAAAATTAAACAAATACAAATTCAAATATTTTGGTATTCGCTTCGATTCGGTTCGTTTACACCCCTACATCTAGGCACGTATTTCCTTTGTCCAAAAATTATTGTCATGTTCACCATTTACAATGTCACATATTTATGTCACATCCAATTTTATAATTTTTTGATAAAATTTTTTTAAATACATAATTTTTATTTTTAAATTTTACATCATTTTTTATGTAAAATAATTTTAAAAAAATTTCAATGGATTAATGAAAGGGTAGGACGCACGTGTCCAAGACCACGGTCCACAGCTCCGATTTGGTGTTTTTTTAATCTTTGAATTGGCATTGACTAAATTTTGTAGGGGAGAGACCAAATAAAACATTCCATTTCAGCAATCCTATCATAAAAAATGGAATAATATCGTAAATGTTTTTATTTCCTGCTGTTCTTATTTAGTGGTTTTTCTTCAATGTGATGCAGAATTAGATTTTTGATAGAAATCACTAAGATATATAAACGGCAAAAATCAATCGGACTGCAGCCCTGAA